CACACACGCACACACACACACACACGCACACACACACACACACACACACACACACACACACACACACACACACACACACACACACACACACACACACACACACACACACACACACACACACACACACACACACACACACACACACACACACACACACACACACACACACACACACACACACACACACACACACACACACACACACACACACACACACACACACACACACACACACACACACACACACACACACACACACACACACACACACACACACACACACACACACACACACACACACACACACACACACACACACACACACACACACACACACACACACACACACACACACACACACACACACACACACACACACACACACACACACACACACACACACACACACACACACACACACACACACACACACACACACACACACACACACACACACACACACACACACACACACACACACACACACACACACACACACACACACACACACACACACACACACACACACACACACACACACACACACACACACACACACACACACACACACACACACACACACACACACACACACACACACACACACACACACACACACACACACACACACACACACACACACACACACACACACACACACACACACACACACACACACACACACACACACACACACACACACACACACACACACACACACACACACACACACACACACACACACACACACACACACACACACACACACACACACACACACACACACACACACACACACACACACACACACACACACACACACACACACACACACACACACACACACACACACACACACACACACACACACACACACACACACACACACACACACACACACACACACACACACACACACACACACACACACACACACACACACACACACACACACACACACACACACACACACACACACACACACACACACACACACACACACACACACACACACACACACACACACACACACACACACACACACACACACACACACACACACACACACACACACACACACACACACACACACACACACACACACACACACACACACACACACACACACACACACACACACACACACACACACACACACACACACACACACACACACACACACACACACACACACACACACACACACACACACACACACACACACACACACACACACACACACACACACACACACACACACACACACACACACACACACACACACACACACACACACACACACACACACACACACACACACACACACACACACACACACACACACACACACACACACACACACACACACACACACACCACACACACACACACACACACACACACACACACACACACACACACACACACCACACACACACACACACACACACACACACACACACACACACACACACACACACACACACACACACACACACAGACACACACACACACACACACAGACACACACACACACACACACACACACACACACACACACACGCACGCACGAAAATAGTCAGAACGGATTCAGGGGACCCCAAAACGTAAAAATCCGTCGAAAACTGGAGGTCGAAAAAATCATGATTCCTATACTCGTATTTTCCTTATATCTGTATACAGATAGGAAAGTAATTAGGTCCATGGTGCGTCATGCTTTCACAAATAGTAGAAACATCAACAACTATTAAATTTAAGTAATTATTAAAAAATAGATGTTCTTCAAGTTTCCTAATATATCACGGAAATAAAATTATAAAAAGGCCGAACATATAGTGGTTAGAGCTCGTACTAAGGTTATTAGTATCGTGCTCTGTGTAGGTTGAAAATGAGTGGGATGATCTCCATCGCCTTCCACTGCGACCCAGATGGATCTGTTGTGTCTGTGCTCTGTAATGAAGTTAAATAAAAATCCGGTCACCGTCGGGGTTCGAACCCCTTGGATCCGAAAGTTCAGACTCAAACCACTGAACCACCCATCCCCTAAATCAAAGAGTAGATTAGATTAGGAGTTGGACGTTATTTGTCCTTGTCCACCGCAACCTTTTCAGATCTATTGTGGGACTCCGTTTGTTTTAGAGTATGTCGTCTAGCCTGGTCTTTTTTATTAGACTTAGTAGCTGTGACAGTGGCTCCCGCATGTAGTTGCATGCAATTGGCTTTTCTTCGCCCAATGTTAGAAACCTCATTCCAGCCAAGCCTTCACATTGGCACAGGACGTGGAATTATGTTTCCTCTTCTTCTTCACAGAACCTGCACAAAGTTGCTTCTTCTGCAATCAAAGAGTATATAAATATTGTATTATTTACAATCTCACAACGTTGCATCACAAAATCGGATGAACTTCAATGCACACTTAGATTATCATCCAGCATGCGCCTTAGTGCATACATTTCCTACAACTTTACTCGAATTGGTAGCTTGAAAGTGATAATTTTTAATATCCCTTTTTAAATTATGGCACTAAATAACATGTTTTGTATAATAGTACAATTGAGAGATCTTTCTGAGTGTTAAAAAATAGGTTGGGGCACATTAAAAAAATCTTGGTTAATTTTAAGAAGTGGGTAAAAAAAAGATATTTCTAAAGTATGCTTTGATAAAATGCACGTATGTTGAGCGTACAATTCTTCTGTTTAATTGTCAGTTTGGATTTAATTCAGAGCCGCTCTTAGTTATCACTATCAAGATAGAATGAAGTAGAGACGACAAAAACACTATTTTGCGACATGACAGATGGATGTAATAAAATTGGCGACTTACGAGTCGTACTTTTGATTTATTTGAAGTCAATAATTTTATTTTTGAAGATTGACGTAATGAAAATGTTTTTATATCATTTAAATGAAGGTATTTTTAAAAACTGGCATTTATTCTCACCAAAACTGACTTGTTCCACTAGCGGACACTTTTAGTATTATCTAGTATCATTGTATAGAGAGATAGAGATCGATACAGAATACAATTGTTACGGATATGACTCGTATTTATCTCTTTCTCTCTCTTTGTCAGTCATTGCCTATTTTTTTGTGGGATCTTTTGTGGGGTCTTTATTTTGTATTAAGTAAATGTTGTATTTCTTGATTCATGTTATAAGCATATTAGGTATGATGCAAGCCTAAAGAACTGCTCTTTAAAAATGTGCTTTGTGTGGGATTTGTTTTTGTTTCCTATTAAAGACAAGAACAGAACAGGATTTTGATGAGGGATGGAGGAGTGATACACATTTTGGTTGGTTTGGGTTACAAATCAAATATTAAAATCACAAAAAAACTAATTATTTTTATTAAAAGTGTCTTTGTTATTTTCTTGCAGATATAAACTATAACTTTTATTTTTCCACACCTATCAATTATAGGTATTTTGTATATTGAAATCAATTTATCTGTAGACGGTCATGCTAAATGAAATTGCTGATATCTAATTCGTTACTTTCCCTTTCTCCTCCATCCTGGAAACATACCTAAGCATTGGATTAAATATTAATAAGAAAAAGTACCAGCGCTGGTGTGATTGGAATCTGCCAATCGGCTACGGTAGCGCAGGTGTCTACGGCGTCGCATTCATTTGCGAGCCAATTTTCTGGTAAACGAGACACGGTTTCAGATCCTACGGAAGACCATGTGAATTTATTGGCATGGTTCTTTATTCGCTCCGTGCGCGACAGCTACTAATGGACTATTTCTGCATATACTGACAAATACAATTTTTAATAGAATTCGTAATTAAAAAGTATATATGTTAGTTTTAATAAAAGTATATAGATTTGTAAAACAAGTAAAACATTAATTTATTATTATTATTATTATTATATATTTTTATCGCCTAAATTAAAGAAAATTATGTATAATCAATAAAAATCAATAATAAAATATAGGCAGGCAACAGTATTTACTGGAAAACGTATGAGAAGTTGCCTAAGTCTAATAGATTGTCATTGAAGAATTAGACTATTCTGTCAAAATAAAAAAATACCATTTATTAATAGCGTGAATTTAAAATGTATAAAAAAAGGATCGTTATTTATATTTTGATTTTTGTTCGAAAGAAAACATAGAATGAATGATTAAAACTGGTTTCCCACCAGTAATTCACAAAATTGCATTCCAGCCACATAACAATCAAAGGCAGAAATCTTGAAATCTAGTCCTTGCTGAATGAACATTTAAGAATAAAGGGATATTAAAGAACATCGTAAAATTATAATTTATTGTTTATTTAAAACCTTTCAAGTTTCTGATCTCTACTATTTCCATCATTACTGCTACTATTACAAAAATAAAGGTAATTTTTCTTCTTATTGTACACCTATCCATTATTTCTTTGATTTAATTTCCATTTTGCTACTGAAATTTTTTATATAAGTTTCACTGTTTTTTTGCTAGTATTTGTACAATTTTCAACACAGCAACTTCTTTTGCTTATTGTATTGTTTTTACCTACTTTTTTGAAAAAAAGTAAAATGTATACGTGTATTTGATATGCCAAAATTAAAAAATATCGCCCTAAAATGCACGAATTATACGCAGCTAGCGCTAGTATCGCTTTTGCTTCCCTTTCCATTACTTCGCACGGAGCGTAGGATTTGATGGACGCCGTATTAGCAGAAATTTAATTTCTGTTGATATGACATCCAGATTATTAAAAATCACCATGCGTTACCGTTTTCGAAGATGGTGGGTGGGGTTTTCCGGGTTTTCCTCACCTGTAAGTCAAATGGCACCATCAATCATCTTTAGGTCGCCCCGGAGCGCCACGGCAAATAATAATAATATATGTCCCTTTCCCCGGACAAGCTTAGCTTTTGGGGTTAAAATTCACTCGTAAGGGGGTGAATTAGGGAGAGTTTTTTTATTATTATTAATATTATTATTATTATTATTAATTATTTGTTAGCTATACTCGTATAATGCACTTTCTATTTTGTCTTTCATTTGTAGGTAATTTCGAATCTGAAGAAAAAAGTGGTAAATTATATTTTGAAGAAAACGATTGCGTAGTTATTTTACTGAATAATAATATGGCTTTGAGTAAAATTGAAGCATACTTTTGTATCAAAGATATTGTGGAATATTTAACAGCCCTACATATTGTGGTGACTAGAGTTTATGTTGGAAGTTTTATGAAAGTAGCTTTTGCTAACTTATCAGTAACTTTAATGAAAATATCCAGTCCTGAGGTTTTGGTATATTTGGATGGTCACTGCACAGCTCCAGGTAAGAGGGTTTTAAACAATTAAAAGGCCCTTTAAAAGTCTTTATCGCATTCAATAATAATTTATATCAAATTTAACTGTTTGAAGCAAACTGAGAATCATGGTGATAATGTGTTCTTATGTAGGATGGGCCAAAGTGAACCAAGGGCTTGGACCAATGACGACAAACACAATTTTAACAGGAGTGCTGAAAAAAACTGTTCGGCAAGAATCTCCCACAAAGGGCCCGACGATATCGATTCGAGCTACAAATATTTTACTATTTTGTATGCAGTTCGCTTGCAGTGCCCTGATATCCTGTGAAAAACAGTTAAACATTATTGCTTCAGCGAGAGGTTGGTTATAATTTAGTAATAGTTTCTTAAAAATGTTTGCAAAAAATTATTAAAATACGGGTTTATAGGTATAATACAGAGTGCTTCATAACCACAAAATAGATATCAAGGTCATTTTTGTAAATGGATCACATATGTGTAGCATAAATTTGCTATTTTAGTTGATTGCGATTAAAGTTTGTATTTCTTAAAGTTAGAGATTTGCACGATTTTTCAATAATTATTTAAGGTTCATGTTTCATTGAATTATGTTTTGTTATATTGTGTATTAAATTACTAATAAAATTAGCTTTTAAATAAGGTACCACTCCCACTAGAGGGAGCTAAAATCAAAGGTAACTCAATAAATAGATATAGCTGTTAGGGATGTGTCGGTATTCGCGTAACTGTTATTTTGTCGCGGTATTTTTCGATACCGTCTCGTCGCGCTCCATACCATTCAAGTAACCAGTTACTTTGGAACTACCAAGACCAAGATACCAAATAGCGAAATGTTCCGTATCACGCCACATACCGCATATTCTTTTACCGTATCCCGTTCCTCGAGTGGAGAACGCGATAATCGCGACTCGCGATGTTCGTAGGTATATGTGAAGTTGCCAGTTGCAGTAAAATCATGTAGGTTTTAGGAAGTATCAAAATACGGAGCGGGCGGGCGGTACAAATAATACGGCAGGACAGGACTAAATGGCATCTGTATTTTATTTTGCGATATGATTGATATACCTACATATTTAATTCGTGACGGTCAAAGTTGTATTAAAAATTCTGATTAACTCAAAAAATAAACATAAAATGTATTAAAATTAGAATATAAAACATATTTCGGAACATAAAACAAATAGTTAATTAAAAAAAAAAAAATAAAAAAAAGTTTTAAATTAAAAATTTTCATAATAAAAAACTAACACACGTATACATAATATAATTATTAGATCTTAGAAAAACTTAAGGAACACAAAATACAGTAAATAAAGCTTCGAAACAAAATTAAAACTACCTCTACATATTTAAAAACAATAACCATTAATTTTTGAATAAGTGAATAGAGACACGATTTACATATACTTGTACCTAATCACCGCAATCTACTGGTCTGGTCTGGGTCTCGATTCTCGACTTTGTAGGAAATAATTCCTATAGTACAAATTCCTACGAGTATTTTCCTACGACTTCAATGACATGTATTCTCGAATCAAATAGGAATCTGAAATCCTATAGGAATTGAAAGTAGGGTATGTCTGTGATAACTTCAAACAATCATTTAAAACCACCAATCACCTTCGGTAATTTTTCATAAAATTTTGATCCTACATGTTGGTAGATGTGGGTATTGTGGGCAGTTTTAAAACTTTGGTTATAATATATATTTTGATTTTATTTTTAAATTTCGTGGTTAGTTTGATTTTATTTAGGTACATGGTTTTTGATTTGTCTGTTTTATATCTAAATTAAGAAATACTGACATTGTGGTGTACATAAGATGAGCGAAAATAAAAAAAATGGGTTTTTTGTCAGAAGAACAGAAACGTAAATTAATAGCGTTCCTTGAGCATGATGAGAGTTATAAAATAATACATTTAGGGCCCTATTCAGTAATTTATCGTTTATGGACGACATCGTTAAGCTAACGACAGTTCAACCAACGACTTTTATAACGTTAATGTTTAAAGTGTTACAGTTAAATACCGCCGAAAATATGCATTTTATAAAAAAAAGTTTCAGACAAAAGTTTTATAGTTTTTTGGAGGAAACATTTTGGCTAAATTCATTTTTCTATAGCTGACCCATAATATGGCCATATCGAGGTGGATTTTTTTTCAAATTTGAACCCTATTTTTTTATATAGGTATTAGAATTCATAAAAAAATAAGGAACTTCTAAAGGAAACATTTTTTTATTGGAATTCTACTTCGCGAAAAAAAAGTTGGCCATATTATGGTTAGCTATAAAAAAAACGATTTTAGCCAAAATTTTTTCCCCAAAAAACTATAAAACTTTCTTTTTTATATAAAAGGCGGCATTTAACTATAACACTTTAATTTGAACACCCGGTATATTTGACATTTTTTTGGAACGTAAAATAAAAATTCTACCAGTAGATATATTCATTTGTTTTTCAGAATATATTAATTATTCTTAACCTACAACCCGATCAGGGGGTCGACTGCTCTAGGAATTCTGTTTCTCGCGGGCCATTTGCTGGTGTATTGTATGTAGGGTTTATTTAAATGAGTATGGATATATTAAAAAAAAACAGAACTAGTCCAAAAGAATACAAAAAACATCTCGAGAACAGTACGAGTTGTATTTATTGGATTTGAAAGACAGAAACAAAATTTGATACTATCAAACCTGCTTCCTGGCAACTCAGGCCATTAGCCTCGTTTTCTGTTTAGGTTAGAGAGTAGTATTATTATAATATAGGTACTTCCATAATATAGGTTTTATTACTGTTTCGCAGTGCTACTTTAGGAACAGCACTGTTAATAATAAGAATCCAATAGTAAATGTCGAATGGGCAATACTAACTTTTTTTTTTAAATAATTAAATAAATTAGAAAAAAATTTCTTACAAATTGTACTTGCTATATTAGGTAGATGGCAATTTAGTTGTAAAATTTGTAAAAAAGTGCTTTTATTATTTAAAACACATTTTTCCTCACGATAAAAAATGGGAGGGAATGGAAAAATCACTTTAACGACACTTCATATTATTAACGACAGCTCTGTGGCTATCGTTGATGAACGACAATTTTACAACCATATTTGTCTATTTTCAACGATAATCGTTGTCTACTGAATAATAAAAGTTGTCTGTGAACGATTATCGTCTATTAACGACGTCGTTCAGAGTTAAGGCTGTATGTCACGATACTAAATTAAGTACTAAATTTAGAACTAAATTAATGCATTTTTTAAGTACTAAAAAAATTCACGTTGCAAACAGCAAATTTAGCACTAAAAAAAGTCATTAATTAATTAGATCTTTTTCTATTTTCTACTAAATTTAGTACTAAAAGTGCGTCGAAATGTTGCGCAGAAGTTTTTCATAGAAAAAGTTGACACGACGGTATTTTATGTACCCTTTTATTTTTAATTAGCGACAATTTTACATTATCGCCTTGAATAAAGTTCGCTTGTTTGATTTTGTAGGTTTTATTGTGTTTTTTCGTGGCTTTTATGCTGTATTTGGTTGTTGTTAAGTCAACTAGTGTCAAATTGATAATAAAAACACCATTTACTTGTCTGTTTTACACATAATATTTCATTTCTCTGTTAATTTCACGTATTAATACGTCAATGCGCGTGCGCCTATAGTAAATTTAGTACTAAAAATTGGTATCGTTGCAAACGGAAAATAAAATATTTTTAGTTCTAAATTTAGTACTAAATTAATAACTTAATTTAGTGCTAAATTTAGTACTTAATTTAGTATCGTGACATACAGCCTTTACTGAATAGGCCCGTTTTAGTAACATACAACTGAAAAAATCATTCAAAATTTAAATGACAATGGTATTCAAATGACAGCAATGAGAGTTGAGAGCATTGCGCACGTACCGCAAATGTCAAAACACCAAATTCCTACAGCCAAACCCCATAGGAATTCATTTTGTAGGAATTGATTTCCTATAGGTATATCAAGAATACCAAAACTTGATTTTCATAGGAAAGTGACTTATTTCCTATAGGAATTTATGTCGAGAATCGAGTCCCTGGTGGCCTGTCGCGACTCGCGACGTCCTGTTCCGTTATTTGGCGAGCTGGGCTGTGAGTGAATCCCGCCCCACGCCGGTACCGGTGTAACATATTCAAGTAAACGGTATTTTGTCGCGGTATTTTATCGCGGTATTTTTCTGTCGCGGTACGGTATGGAACGGTATTAAAAAGTAACCATATTTCCCATCACTAATAGCTGTAGTATGACAAGGTGGCTTATTGATAATAAAGCACGTAAGGTTATGGTGAAAAACCTTTTATTATCGGAACAAGAAAACTAACATATAACTAATAAACGAATGAACTGATAATGTAATGAATGTTGTATTGTTTATTCGCGTATGAATAGAAGGATTGTCTTGTATGTACCCACTGAATGACCGGCTGTAATACGTGTACGTTAAAACCACGTTTGTATGTATGTGTGTAAGAAATGCGAGTGTCCGAGTTATCTATCGTATTAGTCGAGCGCGCTCACAGAACAATTACTTTTAGAATGGAAACTGCAATGTTAAAATTTGAGACAGTTTTGTAACACCCGGTGGGCGTTCTTTGAACTATTTGGCGGAAGTGGCGCCATCTCGCGGTCACTTTAGTTAACACAAAACGCGGGAACATTCAAAATGGTCCTTCAATATTTAGTTTAAAAGTGGTAGTCAAATTAAGATTTGTTCATACCAACTCCTTTTTTACGTTTATTGTAGCAATAAAATTATATTTGTTACAATAAAGCAAAAAATGAGTAGTATGAACCAATCCTAACTTGACTACAAGTTGAAATATTTTTACAAAAAATTAAAAAGCATGATCAACAAAATTAATTTATTAAAACAAAAAAAACATACAAAATAGAATAATTAAATGTAGCGTGTTAATTAGCTGGAAAGTTAAGTCATTGTCCACAGAGGTTGAAGAGTTTTATCTAAAACAAAAAATAAATATTAATCAACTCATAAATCAAGAAGGGTACAGGAAGAAAAAAGCAGCTAAGCCACATTTTTATCAAAATTGAACTGGTCCGCCCTATTTTGTAAAATACCAGTATTAGCAAATGCAAAACAGTGCATTTAAAATTATGTCCAAGGACTTTCCTACTGTTTGTTTGTCATTTTCAGTATTTAGAATAAAAAATTACAACTGTCTGGTAAATTAAGTGGTAAACTACAATATAATCAGGCAACATTTAAACAAAGTAACATCTTTTTGTAATCAATTACCTTAAAGTATCAAAAGTTTGTATTTAGTCAGTCTAAATTAAATTTGGTTTTCTGAACATT